TCACTGATTAGATGTCAATTTTCAAGGAACACTTACTGCAACTACAGCTCCTGCTACTGAGCACAAAAATCTCAGAAAAAGTCGTGATGGTGCTTGTTGTAATACGACATCTTTCCGTGGAATCTTTGCGTTTTGGTGCAAATGTTTGTTTTTTGTCATTTTTGATAAATTCTAAAACTCTAATATCTATGGAATCTTGGGGAAAAAACTCGGCTATGAAATCAGTTGACATAGAAAACAAGAAAGATAACAAAGTGCTACATCATTGACACAGTTAACCATCGTTCATTTTCACGTGTTCTTTTATGTTTCTAGGTGTGTGTACGTGTGTGCTCAATGTTCCCTGTAATTGATTGAAATAGACGGGCTTTGTTGCCCCTGCTTTTTCGCCGGGATGCACTTAACAATTCATTCAAAATGTCCGTTTCGATATGAACTATTTTTCATATTACATAGGCCGTGATCTTCGCGAAAACGAGCTGCTATTGTTTACAGTAGATTGTCCATGAACTACTGTGTTGTAAACGTTTTCAAATGCGCTAGATGTATGCCAAGTCAGTTTAAGCAATTTGAGGCGAAAATAGGTTGTCTTCAGCGTTTAGACAGCAATAATGTCAAGGATTCATGGATCATATCAGAGAAAATGAAGTGGCTAAAAAGTTCAGAGCACATTGGAAATTGGGGCTCATAGTGAAGAAAAAGTGTTTAAATTGAAAACAAAACAGGCTAAGAAGTGGTTGTATAATGGGTACCATGCTTAGGGGCATCATATCATCAAAACATATTTCTAATCAAAAACTACGAAATGAAGAAGTAAATTTAAATGTACTTAATTTAGAGATGTTCTGTGCATTTCTCAAACCATTATAAGCACTTCAATCGTTTTGCACTTATTAACGTCAATGCAAAGCTAAACAAATTCACAAACAAAGCCTTTCGCGCGCGTATAGTACGACTGGAAGCGAACAAATAGTAGAGTCTGTGCCCCAACTTCAATTAAGTTAACGATAAGTGCATGATATACGTTTTGTAGAAATTTTTATTCGTAAAGATTATGAAATTTGCCGTTGCGACAAATTATCCGAAAGCGCAGCTCAAGGTAGTTTTCTTTTCAGATGTCTGCGGGCTATGCAGATATGACTGGCCACAGAATTGAAACTGTTATTGGATTGTCCTTCATCTAATCTCGCATGTGTTCAGTTTGTTAGGTGAGCGAGTACATTTCATTCTTCCTATTCTAAATTCGAAGAGAGGCTGAAATTGCGTGTAAAGAATTCCCATTGCGAATATCCTAAGCAGAATTTAAGGGTTGCTAGGTGTACAGTAGGAGCTGAGAATCACAAATCCATAAGAAAAGCGGCACAGTGGGGTTTTTTTTTAAAGTGCTGCACGTTGGAAAACTGTAGGATTACGATAATTTACCGTTCGTCTAAAACTTCTGTAGGATCGTTTGCCTTGCTAGTTAATACCTTACTCTTTTCGGGTCAACAGGCCACTGTGCAGTCACAATAGGGTTTTCTCTAAGTCGCCTGCCTTATTTAGGTTGAGCTCTCTTTGAGAGTCATCCCTTATACTTGCGAGGGCTATGCTAAAACGCTCACCTCCAAGAAGGCATTATCTGTGAACTTAGCATTTGAAATTCCTAATTTGTAGGTACAGCCAACTGCTTCGCAATAATAACATGAAAATTCACGAAACTCTTAAAATTTTTATTTTTATTTTAAAGGAATAATAAAGTAACAACAAAGCTAACAATAGGATCAACGTGGTCAGTGTTCGCGTATGTCATCATATATATGGAAATCGAACCGGTCATCAATGTTCCACAGGTTTTTCAAAAAACGATCTCTTTGCTCTTCAAAACTCCAGTTCTGTCTGTTGGTGCAAACAAGTAACTGAAAAGCAACAAATAGGTTTAAATCAATAAGTTATCATCAGTATGGGTGATTCGATACAAATCTCATTAAACTTCTATTCAACCATTTTTAAAACTCTAATTCTAGCAAATCTAATCTTACAAATTTCAAGAGTTGGGATAAGAAGCTGATGATGCTTATTTTGAAAATTTGAAGCAGAAACTTACTCGCTGACTGAGCTTATATCTCAGAAGATAGCAGGTTTTGAAGTGATCTTTGTAGGTTGCCAACATTTCATCCTCAATGCCGATGGCATCCCTCATACAAAGGATATTCAAAGCAAGAACACCTAAATGAGGCTTCCAACAGGTGCTCTTATCATCTCGCAAGAATATGACTTATAACAGGTACAATGTGCGATAAAAGGGAAAAAGGTAGCTGCATTGAACCAGGACACCTACCTTCATTATCGAGCACTTCCGACAAGTGTTTAACTACTTCCACCCTTGTAAACTCAGGCACAGGACAAACAATAGGTTTATTGTCATTGTAGCAAACATCTAGCAATATGGC